CGACGCTGCACAGGACAGTCAGAGACCAGATGCGTGAAGTGCCGGGGAGCAATCCATCGGCATTATCTATATATCCCGCTGCTAGATGCGAAACACTGGTGTCTACGCAGCCACGTCCGCCAACTGCGACGTATTCGTCTTCACAGTCTAAGTATCTAGTGAGCCGATCACACAACGGAAGTAAAACGCAACGGATGTCAAGCTAACTGATGTCAAACACCACCGATGTCAAACACTATCGATGTCAATCCCCACTGATGTCAAGCTAACTGATGTCAAACAACCGATGTCAAACGCCACTGATGTCAAGCACAACTGATGTCAAACAGCCGATGTCAAATGCCACCGATGTCAAGCGCAACTGCTGTCAAACAACCAATGTCAAACGCCACTGATGTCAAACAACCGATGTCAAACGCCACTGATGTCAAACAACCGATGTCAAACGCCACTGATGTCAAGCACAACTGATGTCAAGCACAACTGATGTCAAGCACAACTGATGTCAAACAGCCGATGTCAATCCCCACTGATGTCACACAACCGATGTCAAACGCCACTGATGTCAAGGACAACCGATGTCAAATGCCACCGATGTCAAGCACAACTGATGTCAAACAACCGATGCCAAGCGCCACTGTTGTCAAACGCCACCGATGACAAGACGAACTGGGTTGTCACCTATGATGACCAACGTCAAACACCATGAAAGTCAAACGCACGATGAACGGAACGAAATTAGTGGAAAGGATTCGTTACTCACAAACAGTTTCAGTCACTCACAGACAGTTTCAGTCACTCACTGGCTGCATGTGACAGGTTGTTAACGCATGGATTACTTAATGTCCTATTTGCTATATAATCTGCATTCGCGACACAGAGATATCATATCACATTCATATGACATTCGCGATCATGTGACATGCAATATTGTATATTGCGGCTTGATGGCTGACGTGAAGCTGTCGCTATTACATTCACCTTCCCTCACCCCCTCTCCTCCCCCTCTCTTCCGATAATTCGACACTGCGTCGGTAGCAACCTTTGCATACCCACCATTCCTCCAACGCTCACAGTCCTAGCACATGCAGTAGCCCGCATTGGATACTATTTTACCATTTTTATACTATTTCGGACACCATTAACAGTAACACACACTCCCCCTCTCATATAAGCGTGCAGCATTGTCTCACTGTAACCCGTCCCCTAATTCAGAAGAATCCACTGTCCTACACTGGCCCTGCCATTTCCCCATGACGACCGGGGAGTTGTGACCGCCGCTGTCCACCAGCAGGTCCAGCGGCCGGAGAGATTAGACGGGGCTTCGCTGTGGTCAAGCGTGTGAGCAGAGATGAAGCCATGCATTAAACCGCGGCACCCTGCATAAAGGCGATAAACTCGCTCGCTCGCTATGCGTCTAACCTCGGTGCGGTAGCAGTGTAGCGCGTTCAGACGCGTAGCCTTCACAATGACTTCACAATGGCCGCGCGAATTCAACACTTTAATTAAAAGATGTGCGCACGGACTGGCCGGGAGAGAGAGAGAGAGCGCTGAGAGAGCTGCCGATATCAAAGGCTCGGCAAGCTCGATAGGCCGCAGTGCGGCTACGTAACTCAATTAGAATTCACCATCGGATGTAAGTTGTCGGGGGAGGGGGAGGGGGGTATGTGAAGTGCAGCAGGCTGATGGGAATCACTGCAGGATCTGATTACTGTAAGAGAGCTGATGTGAGAGAGCGAGCGGGGATCTGCATTGTGGCCAAGCAGACACTGCAGTCTGGCAGGTTGACACCTTGTGTGAGATGCGTGTGTGAGACAAAGAGAGAGTGAGGGGATGGAGGAATAGAGAGCAATAGAGAGAGACACACAAACAGGCAGTCAGACAGACAGACAGACATACGGACAGAGAAAGAGAGCGAGCGAAAAGGAGGAAGAGAAAAACAGAGAGGGAGGGGTGGTTGAAGGGCGGCCTAGAGGTGTAGCGAGAGGGAGATATACACAGGCGGAGAGGGGAGAAAACGAGTAAGAGAGAGAAACACATAGAAAAAGATATAGAGATAGGGAGAGAGAGAGAGTGAGAGAGATATATATATATATAGAGAGAGAGAGAGAGAGAGAGAGAGCGAGAGCGAGCGAGAGATAGCCAGACAGACAGACAGACAGACAGACAGTGTCTGAGTAGCAATACGGCTCGGCATGATGACTTACTCTGACAGGACATCGGCTAGAGTGATGAGTCCTGCGTTCAGTGCCTCATCCTGAGGCAGGCAGCCATTGCTACCGCGCTGCTTGATGGCTGCACTCGCTCCCTCGCGGCTCAGCAAGTAGGTGGCCAGCTGCTGCAGACCAAGTCGAGCAGCCACGTGCAGTAGTGTCTCCCCCTGTCCGCCTTCAAAACCTGCACAGAAAACATGCAACGCACTTAATGTAAACCGACCCGAGAAAATAATCCACGCCAAAGTCACGTTGTATTAGTCGCAAACGGATTTTTTCAGAAAAATGGGCTTTCGGATAAACCATGCCGATGATGACTTTTGCGTTTGTGCTTTTTTCTAACACCCCCGAAGAGCCATCGTGAATCGTAACACAGAAAATCCCGTTATATCCGGAGTACAATTCACGCAACTTAACAAATTAAACGTGCGTGTTCAGAATTGTGTGGTGCCAAGTCATTGCCGACGGGTGTATTTTTACCGCTCAAACAAAGAACCGAACAAACAAAAAGTGTTAATATTCAATGTTGCTAGAGAGATGGTGTATACAGAGCGCATGCACAATAACTCTGATGCAAATTTCAACTGGACCTTTAGTTTTCTACCTAGAGAAAAATAACTTCAATGGAATTAATATGGCAAACCTATTATTGCAGGTTTTAAGGCCGGATAGCACGTGTAACCTTAATGCAAACATTGATTAGCATTTTGCAATTAGGTACAGCATTGATTGGTTGAAGTTAATTGAACAAACTAACGATAAAAACTGAAACCCTCGGATGAGGAGCACCGGGGGCGCATGCGCACCTGAAAACATTATCAACACACGGTGAGCAATGCAGCGTTCTAGCTCATCCTTTATACATTAAATCAAGAGCGTATAAAGAAAACTTTCTTAATACGCTCTTGATTAAATGAAACATAATATTCCATAGAAAAATCGTTACTGAACATATCTAATGTACATCTCTACTCTTTCTGAAATCGCACACGATCTACATTGACCTCGTAAATGACCCCCGGACAGTAACAAAAAAACATCTAAAAAACGCATCTCGAATCTGCGGTGAGTCCACATCCATGAACTGAGCACGAGCCTGGTAGAGATAAGCTTTAAAGCTACCTACGTTGACTGCCAACCACTGAGACCGTTTCGGTTTTAATGCCGATGTAGAAACGAAGCGATTTGTGGCAGCACGCTGCTGCCGCGGCTTTCACGTGCCATCTGCACCCAGCAAATTACACACATGCACACACGCACGTACGCACGCACGCACGCACACACACAGACATACATTGACAACGGTTCCACACATGAGCAGCTGCTCATGCTGCACTCACATGGCCTGCTGTAAATACTACTGCACCTACATGTACTGCTGCACCTACATGTACTGCTGCACCTACATGTACTGCTGCACCTACATGTACTGCTGCACCTACATGTACTGCTGCACCTACATGTACTGCTGCAC